GAAAAATAGCATTTTGTCATTATATCTGCAAAAGGAGGCCGGGAATCCCTCCACATTTCAACCCGGGAGACGTCACCAGACCTCTCAAGAGGTTCGACTGGAAACCGGGTCCAGTGTCCCATGCTCCTTGCGATATTCATGCTATTTCTACCAAAAACCAGTAAATTGATCCATCTCCTCTTGTTCTGAAAGGAACTGAACCAAAGCAACACAACACCATTTGCTATAACGTTCTAAGCTTGTTACTGTCCAGCTCTACTCCAGGCTCAATACCTGACGACAGAACATAGGGGTCTGAAACCGGGCCCCAAATTCCTTCAATCAAAACCCTTACTCTATCCTAAACCCTCTGAGCKGACCCAGTATCAATCCAGTGTTTCGAGTTGCCTAAGCCGACAACCAACGGGCCCACTATAGTCCGCTATTGAGTTCCTTTCTCCAGCCAGCTGCAGACCGACAGTTTACCCTCRGGAGATACTTGTGCCAACCGATTGTTCAGCGCCCATGTCTTATGGAACCACAGCCAGCCCTTYTGTTGCCAGTCTGCAATTATAGTTAATCTGATTCTTGACTTAATATGACTTTTCAGTTGCTCGAACCCCAGAYCTTCGTCCCTAAAAAGCTTTTGATTCCGTGCCCACCAAATCGCACTCATAATGATGCCTCTGCATACCTGGGCTATATAGGACCACCCCTGATTCTTTGGGGGGTCTTTCATCATCTTTCAAATTCTTCCAAATTCCTCTTCACTACCTACCTACCACTACTTCTAAGGCTACTCCTAAGGCTATTTGGAGGGGACCCCTGCAAGCATAGTTTTTCCTCTCACGGTGAAGGGGAGATTTCATGTTGCCCCTTGCCCCCAAATGTTTAGGGTATAGGGTTGGGGCGCCAGTGGGGGTCTGGCTAACACAAAGACCGAGACCTGCCAGTAGCTGCGCCTCCCTTTCTCATCGTCTCCCACACTGAGGCAAAAGTTGTTCAGCTGATTTTTCTGCATAACATAGTTTTTTTTCGGTTTTTTTTTTTTTTTTTTTTTTTTTTTTTTTTTTTTTGGGACCTTTCCTGGTTCTTTCACGGCCGGGCTGCTCGGGAAATAGGGTGACCCGGGCGAGGGTTATTTCCCCCCCCCTTACGAAACTCGGAAGAAGCTAAAAGAACCCCTTTGGGGGCAACCGTCCCCGAAAACTTCGAAAAAGAAAAATGGGAAAAATGGTATCCCACATCCCCAGGAAGGCCGCTTCTTTCACAAAATGGATGGCGAAATTTTGTGGGCGACATAGACAAGTGTGGACCTCCGACATTCTGTTGGCCTCTTCACAAAAGCCTGTGTGAACCATGCGGACAACCCAAAAAAAACAAAACAGAAAAGATGCAAAAACTGCCCCTTCTTTTTGGCTACACAAGACGGGGGTGGCCTCTTCTTTTTTTCAAAAGAACTACATGAACTACAAGTTTCGCGGACGTGGTGCCATGTCCACTCAAGTTTCCACATCCCCGACAATGTAGGGAAAGCAGTCGGATCCCATTTTTTATGAAAAACTACAAGCCGAACAAGAAGTGGGTGGGATACGACCAGTACCCTGCCCAGCCAAACTTTTGACGCCTCCTGAATTCATGGAAGCCGGAGGCAGGCCTGGTAGAGGCTCGGTACGGCCTCGACACATGCGTGGTGGTCGCTCGTTTTGAAAATTGAAACGGGCGACCAGAGGAACCCGAAAAATAAAGAAGAAAAGAAAAAAGAACCCCAAAAAACAAGGAAAAAAAAAAAGAAGAGTGCTAATGCACATTCGTTTTGGGAACAATGGAGGCAAGTCCACATCATTCCGACAGATTGGGGGGATCTATGGGCAACTGATGGAGTTCTTTTGGGATCTGTGACACTTCGGCTAACAAGATCAAGAGCCTATGTCTTTGAGACCCTGGGGGCCACTGTGCTCTGGTACCCTCTGGAAGCAACGGAATGACTTTGTACGTAATGGAGAACCCCCTTCAGTACAACAACTGTTCGACAACATCAAGCGATCTCTGAGACAGATGATTTATATAGATTGGAGAAAAAAAGTGAACAGAGAGGCGGGTTGGAGAGCTGGGGTTCACTGGTTTAGAAAGCATTGGGCAATGTGCCCTAAGCTAGTATCAATTGACGGCTGTACTGGCGACATCTCGTTTGGGCCATTTTTGCAGCAATAGGGATGAATGTGGTTACTTCTGTATTTGAGTCCTACGTTTTTATTATTTCAAAAAACTAGTTGAGGACCTGCACAGTCAATCCCCTGCCTTCCAGGGTAATCAATGCTGGCAGGTTTTAACTTACTTTTACTTACTTTTGCCTGAAATGTTCGGATTAAATCTGTAAATGGGACGCTGGACCCGGTTTCCAGCAGGTGATGCTCCCCACCAATAGATGGAGTCTCTCCCCGGGTGGTAGCGGTGACTGCTCTTACCAGCACCACTATCACTGCTGTCTCTTATACACATCTAGATGTGTATAAGAGACAGTTGCTTCAGTGATTTTCTGACTATAGGGTGTACCATTGTTATAGCTTAGTTTATTTTTGCGATATTGCAATGTTTTGCTGCTTTTTAGTCTTCTTTTATAACATTTTTCTCAGATCTTTTTTTTTTTTTTTCACAGGGGATGGGCTCCGGTAGCTGACTGCACCTGGAGACCTTGTGGCCCTTGATCTTGAAATTTGTGGACACTGTTTTTGTAGCCTTGGGCACTGGGCCCCCTTAAAAAAAAAAAAAAAAAAAAAAAAAAAAAAAAAACGGCGCGAGTGGGGGGCTATTCCTCTCAGACCGGTGTGAGTTCTGGCACATGCCTGACTCAACTCTCAGGGCCTCCCTACGCTACTCACCACATGCACAAAAGAGAGAGAAACAATACTGTGTGTATCTTTCCAGGTCCTAGCGGCAGATTCATTCTCCTTTGTACATTTGGTGAATAGTGGAGCTAGCCCCTCATCCTCGCTGCACTACTTCCTGAAGTGCAGAATGAGAATGAATCTTCCGCTACAACGTGGAAACAGATACCATCTGCAAAAAAAAAAAACAAAAAAAAAACAGAAAGGATCAGTGTACAAGAAAAAAAGGAGAAGACCATAGATACACGTGCTGAAGCCTCATCCTACCAGATTCGCCTGGGATCTTGCTGCTGTTCGATGAATTTTCCTCAAGAACTCGGAAATATACTGAAGATGTGTGGCCCTGAGCAAGGACGACACACATAATCGAGAAATTGACAAATTGTCCCAAAAAAAAAAGAAAAAGAAACAAAAGAAAGATCCACTGCCACAATGTTTTGTCTTTTCCGGTTGCTGCTGAGTGTTGGAGCGATGCCCTTCGTCCTACAAGATTTCCAGGGGCCGCGATGCACTACTTTCGGGATTACGAAAATGGGAACGCATTTTACACTGGAACACGGAAGGATACAGAGAAGATCAGCATGGTCCTGCTAAAAAATGGTGATTTCTGGCAATCGAGCTGTTCACGGTTCTCTGACGAAGAGCTCGCCATTCATGCCTTCGCCTGCTCCTCTGTTAGTAGCAGCCGCCCTATGGGAAAAAAGAAAATGTTGGACATAAAAAGGAAGAACAGAAAAAAAGAAAGAAAACAAGGGAGGGGTAAAAACCAGCACAGAAGTACCGGTCGCCAGCATTGGAGGACCGGCTGCCCCCATATCACGACCGCTTACCAGGTGCATTCTCATATGACAAAGAGGCTCGGTAGCTTTCCAAAAATAAGGTTCGGGAGGGCTGCTTCGGGGGTACTGGTGGTTTAACCAGCTCCAAAAGTTTTTGTTTTGTTTTGTTTTGTTTTTTTCCCAGCTCTGATAATTTCATTTAGCAAGTCTTTGTTTGTTTGTTTGTTTGTTTGTTTGTTTGTGTTTTTGCTGGGGGTGGTGGGGGGGGGTGGTGGGGGGCGGGGGAGGAGTTTGGAGGGGGCGGCAGGGGATCGGTCCTGTGGGAGCATCCGAGTTTTCGTCGGGTCGGCTGTAGACCATATGCATCTCAAGGGTAGTTTGAGGGGGAGGGGGTGTAAATCCCACCTGCGCCCTGCTGAGCGCCCTGTTGAGCGTCAGTTGGTTGCAGACAGCATGGTGGACGTGAAGGTTGTGTCTAGCCTGAACTACCTCTGTTCCCTTTTGTCAGAATTGGGAGTTTATGACCTGTGCACAGAGACCCTAGTCCAAGCAAAGCTGGACTCACCTGGGGTGTCTGTCAAGCTCTGGCGTGCACTCCACGATCTGGTTCTTCTACAACTGGCGAGGTTCCCCTCAGTTTGTCCCGCAGCGAAGGCCAGAGGAGGAGGAGGAGGAGTAGTAGTAGGAGGAGGAGTAGGAGGACGTAAATCTGGGAAAATGGGTAAATTCACAGGAGCAAGAGCTGAGGGGATCCCAGCCTGCTGGATCAAGTCCAGACTGGAGGGACTGTGGAGCTGTCCAGACGGAACAGTGCCGCTGGATGTCATCAAGTTTGTCAAGTACTATGTGTGTCTATGGGGTTATCCGGTTCGCGAAGGGTTCTTCTCGCTGCCCTTCGACGCTCGAATAGGAGGGCGTGAGCTCTTGCTAGCCCTAGCTTGGCTCGTATCTCACTGCAACCTCTTCAGCATTGGACTCACTTCGAGAATTTTCAAGCTTCAACACAGGTCCACATTCGACGAAGATGAAGATGAAGATGAAGAGGAAGAGGAAGAGGAAGAGGAAGAGAAAGAGGATGTTCCATGTCCTTCACCGACGGTGATGCGAACAAGACTTAGTGCTGTTGGGCCATACTATGTGGATGAAAGGGCAAAGACTGGGAGCGATGGGCGTATGCATTTGGTGCATAATTGTGACCAGGTGCACAAGTGTGCCTTGGGTCACAATTGTGGTTTATGCGATGGGGTGTCGATGGAGGAGGAGGGAGGGTGTTGCGGCAATGGTATGGAGAAGGGGGGGATATCCTCCTCCTCGTCCTCCTCCTCCTCCTCTTCCTTCTCCTCCAGCTGCAGGTGGGGGGACGGAGAGAGAAGGGTGGGTTCCTTGGTAGGTCGACGACACAAGCATGGCAGTGCTGAGGGACTGCCAAGGGTGGGGGTATTGGAGGCCTTGGGGGAGTTTCGTTGGTATCCAGATGACATGAGGGGCTCTCATCTGGCTCGGTCTAGAATGGTCCAGGAATCAGAAGACTCTCATCGGAAAGCTCCACAAGTATTGGACAGCTCCTACCCAAGCACCGACGAAAAGGCACTGGTGAGTGATTGCGTGTGTGAATAGTACTGAACCACCTGCCTCCTGTGTCAGGATTGCTGCAGAATTATTTGAAAAAAAAAAGAAAAGAATTGCTGCATAATACCAGCTCCTCTTCTGAAGTAAAAGGGCCTTTACCCGATATAGGCCTCAGGACTTGTAAAAATAAAGCAGCACGGGCCTTGAAAAAGTAAAGCATTGTGAAAAGGTATCTCGCCAGAGCTCAGAAACGTGAAAGCAGGTCAAAGGTCAAGTTCTCTGTCAACAGGCATATCTAAAGCTAAGGCAAAGGGCATTGTCAAAAGATTTACCTGTTCACCAGGAGATGTGTATGTCATGTCTGTTTGGGTAAGAGTGTGTCTGTACGTGCAGGCAGTGTACSTGTTCGTGCAAAGTAAAGTGTCTGTTCAAGCAGTAAATGTGTCTGTWCGTTGAGAGTTGTGCCTGTCCGAAAATAAAGTCAATAGGCACAGTCCCAGTTCTGGTCTAAGTCTAGGGGTCAGTCCAGATCCAGACCTTCAAGTCCAAATTCGGGCCGGGAGGCCTCAGCAGCAGTTGAACTTCATTGGGACTCTACTGGGACACATGCAATGCAGGGTCTGGGACAAAAGGAAGGCTGGTTTGAGCCAATGCAGACCCAGCAAGGAGTATAAAAGAGGCAGCCAGCCTCATTCCTTGCCAGATCTCCACTGGCATTCTATGCGTGGAAGTGCTGGTGCACTTGTGCGTTGAGCCAGTAGGAGCAGCGCTGGAAGGAGAAGATGCGCTGAGTGAAGGGAGAAGCCTGTATGCTG